CTCTCTTCATTCTGAGACACCTCCTGCTGAGTGTTTCCCAGCCTCACTTGTTTCCGGTTCTTTGAAAGGATGAGCCACGAGTTGGCTGTGTTTGGATCCAGAGTGATGTGCACTGTAGAGAGGGAACCACAGTCAGGACTCATGTGGGGGAAATCGGTAACTCCATGCTCATGGTGAGAGATCTGTGCAAATATCAGGGGGAGGGTGAGGGGGTGACCCTGAACCTCACCATGTGAGAAAGAGACCCTCAATCAGGTCAGCCTTTGTCTGGACCTTTGAGGGAACCATCTTCCCTACCTCTGGCTCTGCCCTACTTACTCCAGCTTGCTACTTCTTCTCCAAATTGCTGTACATACTCATTCTCCCGAACCCTGGGACCCAACCTGCACCCTCAGTATCCCCAACATCACCAGCCCCACAGCTCCAAGAGCTGGCCTCACCTGCACTTGTCCTCAGCATCTTCTTCACTCCTGGCACATGACACATACTCCTCAGCTTTGGGGAGACAATATCCAGCTCCTTCAGGTTCCAGGACTCACTCCTAAAGGAAAGAGAGTTTGAGATCCCTTCCTTCTACTCCTGCCTCCTACCTCAAATGCTAACACTAGAATCTCTGATAATTTAAATTCAACTCAACTTCACAAGTACCTCTTGTGTTCAGGTCTCTGGGGCTCAGGGGGAGAGGCAAAAAGTGTAGGATTTAGTTCCTATACAGTAGCTCTTGGTTACAAGAGGCTCTGCAGCATGAGAACTCTTGTGTGTCTTCTGTAAGCCTGAGGTCATTGTGCAAGTACATTCTGTTTCGTTTCACAGGCAAGGCATCTGACCCAGGTGAATTACTTCTGCAAGGAAACTCAAGGAGTCTTGCCCGTGCTGTGAGTCTTATGGTGGCTTTTTATAAGAGGTTTGTAACTGGTTAAGTTCCAGCTAAAGAAGAACTCCCAGCAATCTGTAGACCTAGAACTTCCCAGAATTTCCTGTCTGACAGGGCTTTACTGTGTAAGATGTTAAGGCCCAATGACGTTGGGCAGTTTCATCAACTGAGAAGTCCATGTAGTAGCTTTCTGAGACCAGAAACTATTTTACACTGTGTAGAGCTGTGATTTTCAACTGGTGTGTCGTGGGAGGATCTTAGGTGTGCTAAGAAAAAAAAAATTTTATCAACATAATTTAAATATGCCAGGGAAGTTTAACAATAGCTTCAAGTGTGTTATGAGATAAAAAGATTGAAAAACACTGACAAAGAGGGTCAGATCATTGAGAAAAGGGAGTGGGATGGGGAAAACTTCAGGGTATGTATTTATAACTCAGTAACCTTTTTTATAGGTCTTTGCTTCTTGTCAGCCCCTCTTCTAACAAAAATAATTTTTTCCCTTACCTTTCCAGGACAATTTTCACCTCCTGAGGAGAAAAGAGACAGAGAATAAGTTCTAGAGATTGTGGTTCACCACTGAGACTTCCACCCTGTGGGTGATGTGACATTTCCCATGTTCCCTGGAACACTACCCTTCCCTTACCTCTGGGTCAGGGCCCAAAAGATGATTCTGACCAGTTTGCAGCAGAAAGGAGGTGAGGATATTTGGGAAATCACCAGAGACCCAGTGTAGGTGTGATCTATAGCTAGGGAAGGATTATCAGTTTCTAGACTCTTACCCAGAAAGCCCAGATTCTTAGGGGTAGGGGAAGGTAAGGATGGGGGTGCAATACACAAAGAACCCTGCCTGGCCAAAGTGCAGAGATGGTCACAGGCAGAGAATGGCCAAGTAGGATGATAAGAAGAACCTACTCTATACCTCACTTGAAGGCTTGAGTTGTTTGGGGGAACAAGGGTTGGTTAGAGCACTGTTCTGAGCTATATTTAATGCCATTTTGTCCTGTATAAGAAATCAAATCACCTGAGAATATTCTGTTGCAGGGTTTCAGGGCTCTTACATGGGAGCTGGCAGGCTCCAAGGCTCAGTTGGAAGTGCTTGAGAAAGCCGGGTTCAATGTTGGCCAGAAGAAAGCCCAATACAATCAGCTTTTTATGCACAAACCAGATAGAAATGGCTTCATGCCTACATCTGGCAGAGACAGTGAAAAGGTATGGCAAGAAGAACTGTAGGATATTACAGAAGGGACTTCTGAGACCACTTAGTTCCTAGATTCTCAAAGTGAGGCAAATTTGTCACTGGCGGATGTGAGGTCATTTGAAGCACAACAATATTGATGATTTTTTATGTATTTACTTTAATCTTAAGTCTATATCTTATTGTTTAAGTGAACTTGCTCAAGTTATTTAGTTTTAGTCTCTAAGTTTCAGTATCTCTGCCTCTTGGTCTTGTCATCTATGAAACACAGAGAGGATAGTAGTATTCACCTGAATACCTGTCAGGCAATATGGGCTATTTACAAATTTATAGTTACTATTAACATTATTGTTATGAAATAAATTAGAAAAATATCAGTAACACATAAACACATGAACTCTTAGATGCTTCTGCTTTAGAAAAATTTTCTTTTAAGCTAAATTGATTCAGGGATAAGAGTGAGACAATTTAAAGAAAAACATGTTAAAATCATATTGTTCACAGAAGAAGCAGAAAGCATAAAGATACTTTTTGGACTAAAGTTTGGACAACCCTTGTCATTTCATCCATTCCATCTCTCTTGTTTCACTGACGGAGACATTAGGTCTAGGAAAGGAAAATGACTTAACCCTGAGTATGGAGGGAATCGGTGGCAGGGTATGGGCTTGGCTACTATCTCTTAATTTTCAGTTCAGTATTTTTAGATATATTACATTTATTTAAAAATCTTTCTTTTCTTTTTTCTTTTTTTTCTGTAATTTTTGGCCCAGGCCGGGTTTCAACCCACCACCTCCGGTATATGAGGCCGGCCCTTACTCCTTTGAGCCACAGGCACTGCCCTATTTAAAAATCTTTTCATGACCAGACACTCTCCTAAGAGGTGATTTTGTCACTCCATCTTCATGAAAATCCTTTGAAATATCAATTTAACAGATGAGAAGGTGGGTGCTCAGAAAGACTGCGAAACGTTCTTGAAGGCTCACACCTGGTATGCATTCCAGAAAGTACTTCCCAGGGCTGGCCATTTCTGTTAATTGCTGAATGGACTATTCCCTCCTAAATCGGAACCCTTCTATGCCTTGAATACAAACCATTCACAGGCCTGAATTCCAGTATATTTAAGACTGTCTATTCCCGGGACGAGGTTCTAAGGGTAGTTCCAACTAGCTCTGGCTTTTTTTCAGTTACTCCTTGCATCTCAGAAGGGGCCTCCATCCTCCTCTCACCTGCAGCAGCTCCAGTGGTGAGCTGTGGCTCCTGTGCTCCACCTCTGAGATCAGCTTCTGCAGGTCCTGGCTCTGCTGGGTCAGTTCAGCCTGTGTGTTTCCCAGGAGTCTCAGCTGTTCTCTCTCATTCTGCTCCAGCTCCTGTAGCTGCCTCTGTTCCTCTTCAACCAGGAAGTTTTTCTGCTTCTCAAACTCTGCGTGAATTGTAGATTTCTGTTTCTCAACTTTCCTCTTTGGTGTCAAGGGAAAGAGAGAGGTAGTTTTTATTAAAATCTCCCAGGCTGATACATGGTCACATAAGAGAAAAACTCAACTCAATTCAAAGTGGGGGGTGGAGGAATGAAGAGGCATGCAGAGAAGGGGGGATGGGTAAGGGTGTGCTCCCACTTAATGGACACAATGTTAGGGTGTATGGAGGTGGGTCACAATTACAGGAGGGAGTTTGCCTAACAAATGCAAACACTGTAACCTAATTCTTTCTACCCACAATTAACTTGAAACAATAAAAAAGAAACAAACAGACAAACAAAAAACCCTCCCAGGCTTTGGGGATAGAGGAATCAGTATATCTATTTCCAGCCCATGGAGATGTGCCATTTTGTCCACCTGTCTGGGAATAAACACACAGAGACACACACAGTCGCACATGTGTACATGGGTGTGCACAATTTTGCTGAGGAGGTAGGTGGGTGAGGCTTTTGGGGCTGAGAGGGAAATGGGATTTGTAGGGAGTACATTGTGGCTAGCTTACAACCATAGGTGTATGAACCTAGGGCAGGGGTCCTCAAACTTTTTTTTTTTTTTTTTTGTAATCATTGTTAATGAGCTTAAATGATTTTATGAGCTTAAAAATGCATAATTCAAACTTTTTAAACATGGGTCCAGTTCACTGTCCCTCAGACCATTGGAAGGCTGGACTGCTGGCCCCGGCAGGAGTCGGCTGCTAAGCAAGACAGGCAGCGGTGGCAAAAACACCCAGTGGGCTGGATGAATGTCCTAGGTGGTCTGCTTGTGGCCCGTGGGCTGTAGTTTAAGGCCGCCTGACCTAGGGCATCAGAGACTTTTTTCAACCTCTCTTCTAAAACCCAGTTACCACGTAGATGTGTCCCACTGTCCTTATGTCTCAGTGAGTTACTGAGAGAATAGCACCTGTTCCTATTCTCAGCAACCTCACAAACACAGGGATGGTGATGGTATTGTGAACCTAAGTCCTGGGAAAGGTAGGCTTTGAGACCTTCTTTGCTCACTCTTTCTTGCTAGGAAACTGGAAGGCCACCCAATGACACAGGATGTCACTACAGCCTGACTTACCTTTCCTCAATCCCACATCTTCCTGTTCTGGGATCCATGTCCATGAGCTCCTTTCACTCCTCTCTAATTCCTGCCCCATCTCTACTAATGGAGGGTGAATTTTGGTTTTTTCAGTTTTTTTTTTTTTTTCAGTTTTTGTTCGGGGCCAGGTTTGAACCTGCTACCTCTGGCATATGGGGCCGGTGCCCTATTCCTTTGAGCCAGAGGTACCGCCTGGTTCTCCATTATATTTTTTGAACTGGCAATCTGGACATGGTCAAACAACCAACTAGTCGAAGGAGGTTTTCTATACTTCAGCCCTTGATGGTTCCCAGAAGCCTATTCCTTATAGCCACTGTTTCCTGAAAGACCAGTAGTTAGGCTTCTCTTCTCGGGTACTTCTGTCCCAGATACTGAGATACTGCTGCTATCAGCCCCCAAGACTGGGCTTAGAGGAGCCGGGAGCTTTAGGGTATAGCTCAACCCTCTCAGAACCTTCTTCTATGATTCTTGATCTTTGTGCCTTTATGGCGAGCTTGCCATTGAGCCTCCATTTTTTCATTCTCCCTATCTACAGACTTAGAGGGCAGGTGGTTCTTGGAAAGTGAGATATACCAACTCTATCACTCCTCAGACAGTGACAGCTATGGTTAAAGCTATGAGTCCAGGGCCCTGGACCCTGCCCAGCCTTCAGGACAGGACACTTGCCTTCCAGTCTGCTCTCTTCATCGCAACATCCCTTTCCAACTTCTCAGCTATCTCTTGTTTTTTTCTCAGTTTTTCCAAGGCCACCTGGAGCTTGTCCTGCAGAGAAAGATAACAGATCAGTCTCCAATCAGACCAAGTAGTAGGTAGTGTAGGGCGATCCTTGCAGCATTTTCCCATAGCACATCTCCTGCTTTTAGAGAATGGGAAGGTTGTTTATAGCTTGCAATTTTCCCCTTACATTAGACGTGGATAGAAGGAGTGATGCTCCCCCTTTCCCTAACCCTTCTACTCCAGAGGTCACTCTTTCCCATCCCTCCCTCTGGGGAACAAAACACTCATCAGAGTCCACCTTCCTTCTTCCTGTCAGTGTCTCTGTGCTAAGGCCTCACCTGGTACTCCTGAGCAGCCTCATCAATGGGAACCATGGCGTGTTTACGGTGTTTAGGAGACTGGGCACACACCCAGCAAAGCAACTTCCCATCTTCCTCACAGAACAGGTGAAGTTTTTCTCTATGCACTGCACAACGTGCCCCTGGGGTGTCCTCCTTGGTATCCTGGCTCATTTTTCTAAAGTTTTCCAGCATGTTGGCTACCTTAAGATTGGGCCGGAGGTTCCTGAGCAGAAATTGGCACTGGCACTCAGGACAAACACTGCCCCCACCTTCTCCAACTTGAGAGATGCATTCGTGGCAGAAATTGTGGCCACATTCGATGCTCACAGGATCCACAAAGGGGTCCAGGCAGATAGGGCATGTGACATCCTCCCACGTCATTTCTAGGGGCATTGCCATGGCCTTAAGGGTGACGTTCTAGTTAAGCACTGCTGAGAAGACCTTAAGGGGTCCTTAAGGGGACCTGGTGAGGAGAGAAGAAAGGGAGAAAAGAAGACAAGAGGAAGTCTGCATGAGAAGAACAATACAAAGAAAAACAAAGGGAGAGTGTACTGCAGGATGAAAACAAGAAAACATAAGAGCATCAACCTGAATAACAAGAACTTCTCCTGCATAGTCTGGTCCATTGATTCAGTCAGAAGGAGAAACTGAGTGCCCCAGAGAGGGAGGGAGAATTGGTAGGAACCTCAGAGATTAAGCTGTTGACAACTCTACTTTCATCACGTCCTCCCTGCTCAAATCCTCA